TTCAATCCTCCAAGTCCAACATTTAGCTTAAAATCCCTGCTAACATAGATCTTAAATTCAGAAGGTTCTCCGCTTCGAAGCACCAACTGAAGAACCTTTTAATTTAAGAGAGAGTTCTTCATGTGGTTCCTGTGGTTTTATTGGAGTTATTTGGTATAAAACTCGAGCTGCAACTACTGCAAATTAATCATCTGGTCGATTAAACACCATCAATAAAATCCTTCAGAGTTTCTAACGTCTCATCCTGTCATCCTGACCGACAGTCCAGAACCTGAAACACGAGCAGACGTTCCTTCTGATACGACGCTATAACGGAAAGAATCCTCACATTTACAGTTTGGATCCACGAGTTTGTTTAAGGTTTTAGGTTCTACGTATTTTTGTGACAGTTTTCCAGCACCTAAAATCTTTTTTTGAGAATTCATGAATGTTTTTTTTGCATAAATGCATCTTTAAAGAACCCTGTAGGAGAAGGTTTCTTTCTTCCTGAGTGAAGAAGCTGCAGGTTGGTTTAGATTCCTTCACCTTCACATTAAAGACGCCCACAGTCCAGAACACTGCAGCTGAACAGAACCTGAGCCGGGCGTGTGTGTGTTCTGACCTCGATCATGTCGATGAGGTTGTAGAAGAACTGCGTGTTGTCGATGGTCAGCTTGTTGTCCTGGTAGATCACCCGGTAGTGGATCACCTCGCCGCACACGCTGATGCACAGGACGTAGTCGCCGGGGTGACGGATGCTCTCCCTGACCAGGAACAGGCCGTCCTCGGCCGGCTGCAGCTTGTTCACCGCCTCCGGACCCGAGATCTTCCCGTGGAACCAGCTGACGAGGCAGAAACACAGAAAGCGGGTCGTGAGCAGAAGAGTCACACCGACGCAGAGGAGCTCTGGTTCTGAGACTTAAAATAGTCCAACGGGCTGACGGTGAGCGCAGAGCAGAGATAACGTAGAAATATAAATACATGCAGAGAAACAAAAACAAACAGAAACAACAGAAAAACAATAATAATAAGTAAGTTTGTTCAGAGAGGATCCAGGAATCGCTGCATTTGTTTATTGTCTTTTAATTGTCTTCTTTTACTGGGTTTTATTTTTCTTATCTATTTTTATATTGTTTTATTGTCTTTCATGCTTTATGTGTTTCACCCTCACCGTTTTTTATTTTAATTTTAAATTTTTTTTTGCTTTTTGCTTCTTTTAATGTTGTTCTTCCACTTCTCTTTGAATCTGTACAGAACTTTGTAACCCTGTTTTGAAAAGTGCTATATAAATAAACTTTGTTATTATTTATTGTTATTTGTTGGATTTTAATCTGTAGTTTTGTAACTTTAGCTCAAAGTCATGAGATGAATCTCCATCATTAACATCTGCAGAGTCTCAGTTCTAATATTTATCACAGTCAGATACAGTCGTGTATTATATCTGTAGAGTCTTAATCCTTAATGTATGAGCTCCCCTCGTCAGGAGAACCTCCAGAACCTTTAGGAGGTCAGTTCAGAGGTCAGCTTACTGCAGGAACATCTAACAAAGGATTCCTGGGTTTTTTTATTTTCTATTTTTTGTGGAGTTATGTGTCGGCCCAACGACAACTACACTTTGTTTTATATATTTTATTCTTAGAACTTAAACATAAGTATATGTCCATGTTTTAACAGATAAATGCACATTTTAGTGACTTGTTTTGTATATTTGGGCAAACTGGGATTAATTTTTTCAGATGTCTGGGCCATCAAACAGAACAACAACAATAATAATACTAATAATGAGTTCAAAATGGAAGAACCCTCATTAGTTTTCTGAGAAGATCCCCTGTGAGGTTCCTCAGCAGCAGAACTGAAGCTTCCTTGAGGTTTTTCTACTTGTACTCGGGATAATTCACCCTATCAGTAAAGCTGTAGAGTTTCAGGGTAAGATGAGCCTCCATCAGTCCCACAGTGGGGGAATTTGCAGTGTTGCAGCAGCAAAGAGATAGAAAATAAAAATACACGAGTCCAGTCGATACTGAGTCGTCTGAATGTAGGAAATGATCATAAACTGCACAGATTCTTGTATATGTGCACAAAATTATACTGCACAGAGTTTCTAAAAGTACCAAATATTCATCAAACCGTAATATTCAGACTGAGAAGGTTGGTTCTAAACAGCAGCTCTGTTCTGATGGTACTGGGAGGAGCTCTGGGCCCGACTGACTCGACGTGTTGCTCCAGAAACAGGAAGCTGCAGTGATTAATCCGCTCAGACTGTGTTTGTTTGCATGTCGAGCTTCAGCCCACGTGGTCACGAGTTTTAAAGTTTGACCGCAGCAGCAGCTAAAGTTAGAGACGGATGCTGAGCCCGGCTGCATGTGACCAGAACCAGGGGGATTCCTGCTGGTACCAGGAGCAGACTCACGGCATGAGGCTGAGGCTGGGGTCCACTCGCAGAGCTTCCCTCTCTCGCACATTGCTGGCGCTGATGAGGCCTTCCTCCCCGGTGCTGTTGTGTTTGGCCTCGTAGAACCCTTTCCTCTGCAGGAGAGAAAAGCAAAGCGTCAGACTCTGAAGGAACTCCTCCTCTGCTGCTGCTACAGAGACGAGATGAGCGACGGTACCGAGCTGCTGTCGATGATGGTGAGGATGTCTCCTTTGTGGTACAGCAGCTCTCCGGCTTTGGCTTTGCGATGGTCGGCTTTGGCGACACACTGAGTACCGGCCGTCCAGCTCATCTGAGGACGGA